GCACCCTGGTTGTCCTCCCATACTTGGGTAGCTCCCACTTGCTCGTGACCCATGTCCTTGAGCATGGCGCGGGTCCACAGCACCTCCTGCGTGCACAGGCTCAGCGCCATGTACTCGGCCTCCGCCGAGCTGAGCGCCACCGTGCGCTGGTACTTCGACTTGAAGACCACCAGCGCCCCGCTAATCATCACCATGATGCCCGACACCGAGCGTCGGTCGTCGAGATTGCTGCCCCAGTCGGCGTCGGTGTACGCCGTCACCTCGGCCTTCTTCGCATTCCCATTGTAGGCGATGCCGATGTCTTGTGTGCTCTTCAGATACCTGAGCACGCGGATGGCAGCCTTCCAGTGCTGCTGCTCGGGGTTCTCAAGGAAGCGCGACAACTGGGTCATGATGTACGCCACATCAGGTCTGGTGCACGTTGTAATGTACAGCAAACGGCCAATGAGTGCTCGGTAGGTCATCGCCTGCATTTCCTCGCGTTCCTTCTGAGTCGTCGGCGACTGAGTCTTCGACAACTTCAGGCCCGACTCGCACGGGTTCACCACCACCTTGGCGTCCTGCTGGTTGAACCGCTTCACCACATCATCAATGTATCGAGTCTGCTTGATCATGAGAGTCTTCGCCGATGAGTCATGGTCGATCTCCATACCAAGTATAAACTTGGCCTCGCCCAACACCTTCATCTTAAACGCATTCTTGAGCGCCACCTTGACTTCCTGGATCTCGTTGCTCGTCTTGGCCGCGATGATCATGTCGTCCACGTACAGGCAGACATATTCGAACCTGCCCTTCTCGCCCTTGACGTATACGCACTGGTCGCCACCGCAGCTCCGAAATCCGATGCCCGCGAAGACTCGGTGGATGGTCTTATGCCAGGCATTCTCCGCCTCCTTCAGACCACATATCGCCTTCTGCAGCCGACACATCATGTTCTTCGCGTTGATGATTCCGTAGGGCACCTCCATGTAGACGCGCTCCACCAGCCCGCTGTTGAGAAAGGCGGTGTCCGCATCCAGCTGCTCGGTGATGTACGCCTCGGCCACCACGACCGACAACACCACTCAGATCGAGTTCATGTTGGCCACGGGCGAGTACGTCTCGATGAAGTCCACGCCATACTTCTGCTTAAACTCTTTCGCCACCAGGCGGGCCTTATACCTGATGACTCGGCCGTGCTCGTCGCGTTTCTTTGCGAACACCCAGCGGCAACCGATCGGTCGAGCACTCGGTGTCCGACGGACCAGCGTCCATGATCCGTTGTTCGCGTGTACCTTGAGCTCCGCATTCATTGCCTTCACCCACTCCGACGACTCGTGGCTCTGCATGGCCTGCTGATACGTGGTGGGTGCGTTATTGGCATCGCCGATGTCTGCGGCGTAGGCCAGCACCGTCTCAGCCAATAGGCTGTCTTCGTCCACCCTGGGTCGCTTCGGAGACGGTGGCCAGAAGTGACCATCGTTGTCCGAGTCATCGGGACCATCTTCTTTCGACTCCTCACCGTCTGCGGAACTATCTCCAAGTAGTAGTACCGGTTCTCAGGCACGCCGGGCCCATTCCAGCTCCGGATGGAAGATCATGTCATCATTAAATACCGGTTTCGCGAGTCGTCGGTACGTTGTCAGCTCCTGCATGGATGGCTCCGACGTCTCCGCCTCATGTATTTCCGTGTCCTCGACGGCCTCTTCCACCGATTCCATCGGCTCGTCGGTGGCAGGTCGTTGCATTTCCTCGTGCAGCACCACTTCATCGTCGACATCTTCCGTCGACTGAATGATCGGCGAGTTCTCGCTGGGCGCCGTGTCGTAGATGCCGTTCACCTCGCGCTCGTCCAGCTTCACCGATCTGGATACCTTCACCTTGTTCGACTCCAAGTCGTACACTCGGTAGCCTTTTGAGTCGTCGGCGTACCCAAGAAACATACATTTGAAGCTTTTCGGCTCCAATTTGGTGCGTTGCGTCGCGACTTGTCGACATGGGCGTAACCAATCGACCCGAAGACTCGAAGATGGTCCAGCCGAGGCTTCGACTTGAACGTCAACTCGTACGGAGTCTTGGTCGGGTGCATGCTGTTCGTCGACCGGTTGATCAAGTAGACAGCAGTGCTGACCGCCTCTGCCCACCATATCGAAGCCACGCCCTTGTAGTGTAGCATGCATGGAACCTTCTCCATGATCGTGCGGTTCATCCGCTCCGCCAAGCCATTCTGCTGGGGGCTATACGGGACCGTCTTCTGATGCATAATCCCGTTCACCCGGCAGATCTCAGTCATCGGCGTGTTCGCGAACTCAGTGCCATTGTCCGAGCGCAGGCACTTAATGCTCTGTCCCCACTGGTTCTCGTACAGCTCCATAAATGACTTGAACTTGGTCACGGCCTCGCTCTTCTTGGTCAATAAGTACGCCACGACGTGTCGCAAGTAGTCGTCGACAAAGGTGAGCACATACCTCGCTCCGCCCTTGGACTTCGTCTTCATAGGACCCATCACGTCCGTATGAACCAGTTCCAGCGGTCGAGTCGTCGCCGACGTCGACCGCGACGGGGAATGTGCGACCGTCTGCTTGCCCTTCATGCATCCTCCGCACAGGGTCTTCATCTGCTGTTGAGTCGTCGGGAGCCCGTCCGTCGCCTGGCGGGTCTTCGCCATAGCGTCTCCGTTCAAGTGTCCCATATGAGCGTGCCATAGCTCCCACTTTCCGTCGACTCCCGAGTACTCGGTGTAGTACGCCATGTCCTGCTGGCAGTCCAGCAAGTACGCCTTACCGACCTTCTTCCCCGAAGCGATCACCTTCATCTTGTCCCAGATGACGCACGACTTCAGCTGAAACTCGACACCCATGCCGCGTTCAGCCAACCTCACAACCGAGAGTAGTCGCCGGTCGAGTCCGGGGATGTGGAGCACCTCCACCATCTTGATGCGCTTGCCGTCGATGCCCATTAGGCGCACCGACCCTTTCCCAGCCACGAGGATCTTCTTCCCGTCCGCGATTGTCACATACATGTCCGCCGACGACTCGTTGTACTCGAACAAGTCATCGCGGTGAGGCGTCATGTGAGCCGTCGCCCCACTATCGATCAGCCAACCCGCTGATTGATTCTCCGCCACAGCGAACACCGAGTCTTCGGCGGTGTCTCCATTTGCCTTTTCCGGGCAGTCCCGCTTCATGTGGCCCACTTGGTCACAGTTGAAGCACTTGCCCTTGAAGCCACCGACCTTTCGTCCGCCGTTGCGCTTGCGGCCAAATGCCTTGCCGCCCTTGCCGAACTTCCCGTTCTGGCCCCTACCTCCGAACGAGGTAGCCTTCAACGCGCGCTCCGAGGTCTCCTTCTTCTCCTGCCGCTCGTACTCCTTGAGCAGCTGCTCCTTCACCTCGATGACGGTCACGTCCTTCGAGTTCTCGACGATGGATGCGATCAACTCGTACTCCGCCGGCAAGCTGCTCAGCAGGATGACGAGTTGTCGGGAGTCATCGAGCGGCTCTCCAAGCGTCTGGAGGCCCACGATGAGCTCGTCGAACTTGTCCAGGTGCTTCGCCATCGTCGCACCGTCCTCCATCTTGAACTCGTGGAGCCGACGAGTCATCGTGACCCGATTATGCATCGTCGTCCGGTTTTAGAACTCGCGTAGAGTATTCCAGGCTTGGATAGCCAACGTCGCCGGCCGAATCTTCGTGTGGTGTTCCACAGCCACGCCTTGAGCGATTAGACCGAGCGCCTTCATGTCGTTGAGCATCCAGGCCTCCGTCATCTCCGTCGAGTCCTTCACCACTTGGACGTGCGCCAGCAGCCCCTTCCTCGCGAGCGTCATACGCATCGCGAACTCCCAGTGGAAGTAATTGTCGCTTCCCAGGATGACTTCGGCCTTCTTGCTGGACGTCGTCATGTCGGTGTCGGGGAGGGCTTGAGCTTGTTGCGGCTGTTAACCTGTTGGTTTGTAGCTTGTGGTTGAGGGGGCAAATTCCGAAGTGAGATTAAATGTTATCGTCTCTCAAACTACTCTCTAGTCTTCCCCTCCTGCTTTCCTTCTTGTTCTCCTTGTGCTCGTTGGTGCCTCTCATCAGACGGATTACTCCCGGGTTCCGATTGACTTGATCTAAGTATACTTGGGTCTCCCTGACCAGCCATTGGTATATCCAGAGCCCGGCTGCCGCCGGCTCTCCCGTCGCCGTCGGATCCTCCGAGTCATCGGCGGATGTGTCCACACGTTCTCCTCGTCCATGTGCATCTATTGGCGGCGCTCCCGAAGTCTCATGAACACTTACCAGATGTACAAGTACGTTGAGTTATCATTCCCTGTGAGGTCTAGTCAGACTTACCTTATTCAATATTCTTTTACAGGAAAAGGAGTTCAGTCTCTATTGAGTACTTTAATAAATCAAGACAAGAAGACGCGCAGTACAGCAGCGAGTATGGCCGGTTTTACTCCGTCTTGTTTATCTGTACGCACGGGTGGAAGGACCGCAACCGAGGTATACAAGGCTTACCTGCTGTGCATGGTTATATACTGTGACTAAGTTTTTTTTCTTTAGGAAACGGAACGAGACCTGTTCAGCACTTGCGCGGGACAGCATGTGAAGCAAGCTTGTCTGTGACTCTCACGAGAGTGTTAAACAAGACGACTCGAAAGTGGTAATACTGCTACCGAGTAAATTAATCGGAACCTATTCATACACATCCTGTGAACGAGACGATATGGCGAATGTATGCTGAAAACCGGCGCGTGAAAGACCCAGTCGTCTTGTCAATGGTTCAACAGCTAATAAAAGCTAAATCGCCATTTAAAACAGATTTATCGGTACGTCCTCAGGTACTGTAGCTTCACGTATTACCGAAATCATACAGCGATCAAAACTAACCTTCCTAAATTCAAAGGTAAGGATGTGATCCGGCAAGATGTGCGCAACATGAAATACGAGATTACAAAAGAGTACAACGCAGACGCCGTTGAAGTTCGAGTTGCCCGTATCAAGAGGCAGGCGTGTTGAGTCAGCACCGCGATCATGCAGAAGAGATTACTTCGCTTGCCAGCATTATTGACCTTCCCTACGACTACTTCAGTATTGATCTCTCTCTACGAAAAATGTTTTGAAATGGTTTCAAATGTGGATAAAAACTCGATCGTTGCTTTTAATTCAAAGTACAGTTTGATACACGGCAAACGGCCAATGAATCTACGATTTGTATTCGACAAAGAGATTGTGGATACAGCCTACGATAACATCATTATGTTGGAGGCGGCGATGATTGAGAAACGCGATGCAAGCCGCGTCAACGGGGAAATTGTTCATGACGTAGGTGTGGATGGAGAAGGCATTGATAATATTTGTGTGAAGGCTGGGGATGCTGGAGATTGCTTCCACTCTTCCGCTATTACAGCAATGTAAATGTTCCACCAGCGCCTTCAATATCTAGCAGCAGCTTCCTCATGCTTGAATTGATTTCCAAGTCATGCCGACGAGATTCGGATTAATCAAGAAGTCGTGCAAAACATTGTGGATGTACTCCGAACAACGTCCGTGTTCAGCCGCCTAGCGCTTGGCAATCTTGTTAGTACAACATTTTAACTTTAAATGTCCATGTTGATACTAAACCGCCATTGTAACATGTAGGAGGCGTTTTTCTATGATCTGTTTGCCTTTATAGACGGCAACTGGATGAACGACTTGTGCATCAAGATGGCGCTCCATGTTTATCTTGGATACCGCAAAGACACTTGTTTTATCGACACACCCTTCTTCAGTTATACGAAACCAGAGCACGCGTTGTTGCATGATGCACTTGCTACATCTTTCCAAGGTGTCTCTCGGTTTTTGGTTCTTCCGATTTGTTTCGATAACTTCCACTGGTGCATGATTCTGGTCGACCAACGAGTAGGCTGCAGAACGATGTATCAGTTTGATCCTCTCCACCTGCAGTGCTACTACGATCGACTTGATCAAAGTTGGCGATCGTATTTAAAAGCGGACCTTAGAAGCGAGTATGATCCGTACAAACAAGAGCGAATTATTGACCTGCACCAGACCGACGACTACAATTGCGGAATTTTCATTCTTCTGTTCGCAATGAAGCACATTAAGCAAATATCCATTCTGGCCACTATAAATGCAAATTTGAATTCGCTCCGGCTGACACTCTTCATGTAAGTGCTCCGCTCGTCTCACCGTGCTTTTAGCGTTAGCTGAATCGATTCGGAATAGGTAAAAACAATGATTAATGCGGTAGATTTGCTTTGCTTAACTCACCCTACAGCTACGTCAAATTCACACCACACAGCTACTCAAGATTGTATTGCTGTGGTTAGTTTCTTGTACCACACGCTTTACCTGGTCACGGCCGTGTACCTTAACTTGGTCGCTGGTCGTGTGACCATGATTCCAATGCATACTTATCATGTAGACGGAGATGTTCTCGGGTTGTCACAGGTACGAAGTACTTCAGGCATTAGGTTGAGAAACACAGCGTCACCGGTCAGCATTTAGAGTATCGATGGGGATCTCACCGGAACGTGCATTCAGTAAAAACAATGGTTTTGTTCGCCTTTGTTGCTCATACTATAAACAGGCTTTACGGTCGAGGCATGTAGCTATGACAAACAAAACGTCATCCCGTTTAGACAAATGACCAACCAATCCAGGTTGAAATATGTGGCGAGTGTGTGGCAATTCGAACCACAAACACACCACATATTGGCTTTTCTATGTGCACTCTGTGTGGCGGTAACGTCGTCCCTCGGTGAAACTCACTCTCTACATGTGGAATACGGCAGGTTTCCTACCCCATACTATGGACTATGGACTGTCGTCATGCAAGAAAATAGGGTGCACAGCCAGCCAAAGTTGACGTAAGAACAACACAGAAGAAATGGTTCGGTGTGAGATCGCTAGTTAGCCACATCAACCCGAGGGATGTCGACCCAGCAGCTTCACCGACAAGTTTCAGTTGTCGAACACCACAGACATCAAGTCGAACACTGCTGCCGCGACGGATTGGAGGCTCAGCTGAAGAACTGAGGCAGGGAAGTGCATCATCTAAGTTGCCATTCATAACTTCGTGCCCCAGCTTCAGGCAGTTTGCCCTTATTATTTATATCGCCAGCACTTTACTACTAGTCGGAGCTAACCTAAGCTTCGTTATATTACCGTGCGTTTTGATCTTGTGATTGGAACAAGTACATGTACAAATCTAGTATACGGTACTATACATATGTATCCATTGATAGTAGGGGCATTTTGAAAAGTGGGGAGATTTTTTGGGGGGTCGATTCATTCACGACTCGTTAGTCACGAGGGCCCAAACACAAAATAAAGACTGTGTATACTTTGTGCCTGTTCAAGGCGAGTACCAAGTAGTAAAGCGTAATGGGCCGCAAAATAGCGGAAGCCCCAATCGCGCACAATGGTTCTGAGGGGAGCCAGCAATTTTCAGGACTCTACTCTACACATCTTACATACATGTTTTTCATGTCTTATGTACAACGCGAAAACAAGGCAATAACGTACAAAAGTCCTCCAAGGATACCCGTTCGGATTGGCCGCAAGAAGACAAGAAGACATGTACTAACGTTAGTATGTATTCAATACCAGGGATTTCAGTGTTGTACTGTAATACATGTATGTACGGTGCGGTACATGTATCGCCACAATCGGTTGCAATTTCCAGATCACGAGCTTTGCGAAGCCCGTGCCTGTTGTTGCCGGTTTGAGACTCTCAAACCAATGAAAGACTGCGGCACCGCTCACTTCTCGACTCTCCGAGCGGTACACGGAAGACCCTTCCAGTTTGAAGCAGCCCCTCTCGATGAGGTTCTTCGTCTTCCTGTCGGCAGCGCTAATCGTGGCAGCTCAAGCAGAAACGTTCAAAAGGTTTCCAAGGCCCAGGAACATGCCCAGAAACAAGACGCTTCCCAAGATCAAGAGCAAGACAGCATCAACACGTACGGCTCTCAACACAAGCCACTGGATAATTCGTCGAGGGTACAGAACACACCGCAGAATGGTGATCTCATCACTTACGCTGCAACAAGGATATTAGAGTTCAGCTCATGCAAGTAACACCATAACCTTTTCCAATAAAAAAAAAAGCCCACGAAAAAAAAAGACAGCATCAACACGCCTAAGCCGACTGTGAAGTACCTGGACGTTTCAGACGCGCTAGCTACTAAGTACCCGAGGGCTACTCCCAATGTGACCATCAAGCCAACGAGACGAAACCCACGTGAAACGGAGCCCCCGACCCCAGCACCCACGCTTCCACCAACCCCTGCACCGACTCCGGCTCCGACCCCGCCACCAGCTCCGTGGGTGACGAAGACCATCAACCATGATGAAGTGAAGCCATTCCCACAGCCTGAGCCTGTCACGATCTCGGAGAAGGCCGCTATCAAGTTCAAACCGCAAATTCGTATTGGCTCCGGATGCGTCCCGTACCCCGTTGTGAGCAGTATCGGCGAGACCAGTGCGGCCTTCAGACTTCAGGAAGCCCCGAAGGAGGGTGCAGAGGCTCTGGCCACGGCTCGCACGTCTACGGGCGTGCGGGCTGGCACAATGACGTGTGGGCCATCATGTACTGCTGGTTCTTTCCCAAGGACTCGCCGTCGTCGAGAATGGGCCACCGCTTCCACTGGGAGCACGTCGTTGTGTAGATCGACAACCCGGACGTCCCGGAGCCCAAGATCCTGGGTATTTCGGCGTCTACCCACGATGGGTACAAGAAGTACGCCCCTCTTCATCCTGAGAACCTGGACGGCAACAGTGTGAAGGTCAATTACGAGATGGACTGGCCCATTAACCACGCGCTGGACACCACCGACAAGGCTGGCACGTTCCAGGACCTCATCATGTGGGAGCAGATGACGGAAGACGCCCGCAGAGCTCTGAACGCGGTATCTTTCAGTAAAGCCAACACGCCCATGAACGACGGCAACTTCCGCCCGAAGCTTGACAGAGCCTGGCCGTTCTAAGCCGGGTGAGCATGTTTGTCTATTATACAAGATGTCGAGTGAAATAGACAATCATATCATACTTGAAGCAAATCCGCAGTTCGTAAGAGCTGTCGTTTGCGCCCTTGCGGATGTTTGAGATAATGCAACATAATGTATTATGTTGACATAATGTATTATGTTGACATAATGTAATATGTTGCATTATCGGTTAAAGAGCTATTTGAAACAACAGCAATGACAGTTGTACAGCAATTGTAGTACAGCATAGCAGCGCAAACGATTCATTAGAGCTCAGAGCAAGTTTTTGTCGATAAGCTAACCAGGCAGCAGCGATAATAAAGTGGGGTGATCAGTCAATCAATGTAATCTGTGAGGAATCGATCGTATCGGGGCAGCAAGCGAGCAGAGTCGCCGTCGTATCGGCTAAGTTAGTTTAGACATGTGGCTGTTATTTCTAAGATACGGTATCTGTATGTACGTGTCGGACGCCACAGCAGCAGCAACTATAAACCGTCGTTGAGTACAACAAAATTATCGCTATTGATTAATGGTCGTGGGTGGAGAATGTTTGTTGAGAGTCGACTTTGAAGTGAGGAGGCCTAAACTGCATTGAAATCAGTATAGCAATTCTACAAAATCAAGTTGCAGGCGTCGAAGTTGGACATATAGCCCCAGGGGTCGGAAAAAATAATAGCAAAACAATTATTATGTGTCCCACGACAATTATTTATTATTGGAAGTTCATGAAACCAATACAATATGACACTGTCCCAATAATAGCAATACAATATCAAATACTATGAATTCTGGGGTTGGGCGTTCATAAATGATGAAAATGCTATAATAAACTATTATAATATCTATTTTTCGGGTCGAGGACACAGCCTTGGGTTGCGAGAGCAAGCGGTGTATACTCAATAGCGCTTTGCCGGACAACAACACTTCCCAAAACCGTCCTGGAAACAGTACAGGGCTATTGTAATCGTCATCAGCCTCCACCTGTATTTTCTCACTGTATAGGTTGGCCTGACACCTCAGTAATAGTTCGATATCACGTTTGCGTAAAGTTCGCGTGAAGTTTGCGGCCTTCCTGTCACATTTTGGCAATGAATAACTCATGTCACGAATGGTACAATATACTTAAATTGTACCTATTATTATTATTATTGGTTGCCCTCATATTGCCGTTATTACTACTGCAGCTTTGGCCTCGCAATACAATTTCATACTGTATCGTCCGACCCCTGTATAGCCCGAATAACCCCAGAAAATAAATACATTATACATTCAACATGAACCGAAGCTCAGTCTGGCAGCTTGAAGCTGTGCAGTATGTACCATGAATAGCAGTAACGCTAGTGTGAGTTCATGCAATGAAATGAAATTTGCGGTTATGACGGCTGACTACGCCCGTCGCCGCGCACTGCTGCACGCCGCATACGGGGACTCCCGCGGTAGCAGCCCAATAGTGTGAGTTCACGTAGATCCGCCACGGCAGATCGAGCAGCGCAAGCCACCCAGCAAATTGACGCATGATATTTCGCAGTACAAAAATAAGAGCAAGCGCTAAAATTCAAGAACGTCTTCATGCAACGCTCTTCTGCGGCAAGCATAGCGCTGCTACATAGTATTACTAGTAGAAAATAAAGTTTTCTACTGTGCAGGTTTTGAATTACAGTAAAAAAAATGACCGAACTGCGAACGCCGCGGGCCAAAGCCCCCAAACCAGTACTTCTTCTTCTTCTTCTTTCTTTCTTTTAGCTTTTCTTATGAAAGAATCCGACGGTTTGTGATTGATTTGTACTTAGTACATGATTGAAACCTCCAACCAGCTTTTGCCGGTGAAGAGATCCTCTATTTACGTTAGTTGCTAAACCTCCAACCAGCTTGTATACACGCATTCATTTTCACTCGACCCGCAAATGGCAGAGCCGCCATCTATCAAGTTTTCCCCACGAGCTGCTAAGCCATTGGTAACCTCTGTGGGGTCTCAATGGGATTTCCAGGAGCCATCCGACCTCGGCATCCTCGCCCAAGCTATCCCCCGACACTTTGATGCTTGGAAATGTAACGCTCAGTGCGCGCAATGCCACCCTCTCGTGCTCTGCCTGGACGGCCCAGGAACAGGCAAGTCGCGGCTCTTAAACGAATTCCCCAGGCTTGTAAACGACGTGCTCAAGGGCCACAAGAACGAGGAAATGCTCTCGATGCTGCAGAACGCGTTCACGTTTAACGTCGCCTTCGAGGAGCAAAGCCATGCGGACAGCTTTGCTGACGCTAGTTTGGCCATCGGCACTCGCATGCTGTACCAGCTTCAGGATTTACACCCATGGGAGACGTTCCGTCTAAATCCGGCCAATCATTTGACCCCAAGTTCAGTCTTCTCGAGGCTGGGACGGCTGAAAGGCTTGCCTCCGCACCAACTGTGCGTGATCTTGTGTGTAGACAATCTGGACAATTTAGATCTTCAATCTGGAAACTCAGCATCGCAGTTTCACTATGGACTAGGCACCCTCTGTGATCTCGTGAATGCGTCCAAGTGTTGGGTGCTTGCAACCGCCTCTGCGACTAGTTACAAACCAGTGGATAATTTTTTCTCGATGTCTTCTCAGTGGCATCTTCACCTCCAACCGGCGATGCTGGCCCGTCCGAAGATACAAGGCGAGGATGTTTTCCTGGGGTATGGGAGTGACGCTCTGGTGCAGCTTCTGGTTGACGACATGGGTGGGTTTAGTCGATGCCTCGAAGTTCTCTACACCGTGATGCAAAGTATCGGTCAAAACGGTACATTCGACTTTGCAAAAGTGCTGAAACGTGTGGTGAAAGCACTTTTCGAAGCCTACCCGGCTATTCTAACGTCAATTGACGCTATGCGTGAGGCGTTTCTGGCTGCTGTTGCTCGTCGAGTTGTTTACAAGAGTACTATGTTCGGAAACGCTACTCTCGACCAAGTTATTTCAGCGGGTTTGATCAGATTGCGGGATGCATTTCTTCAGTGTCCGTACGTGTTGTATTTGATGCTCACGGCGGATGGAAATCCTTGGAGAGAGTTTGACAGCTATGTCCCAGTGGATTCACGTCAGGATATCTTGCCGCAGCAAGCCTGGGATGAATTCTACAGCAAGTTTCGAGTTTTGAAATCAATGGCTTTTGCTCCGGAATCACCGTTGTTGTGGGGAATTGTACACTCTGGAGCTCGCCTTGGATCTGGCTTTGATCGCTTCGTGCGGGAGGTTCCGCGCAAAGTTGAATTGGCTCCGCTTGGGAGTTGCACGTGTGACTTGGATTCTGAAAACCGCTTTTTGTTATACCAGAATGCGACGGGGTCGTCGCCTAGACGTTCCTTTCTTTGCTTAGAAGATGGTACAAGAGGGTTTTTCACGAGGTTCACGGATTCAAGCAAGTTGCTGGGGGCAAACCACTTTCTGCTGCTGAGTTTCAGGCGGAAAAGGAGAAGGCAGTTGGGGATGGCGATCACTTTATTCTGTTTTATACGGGATTTGTGTCGCTGGATATTCCTGACGCGTTGCTCAAGCATTGTGCAATAGTCGACCGTAGTTGCTGGGAAGAATACTTCGGCCCCTTTGCAGCGAGGGGATTGCTCGTGCACCATACTTCGTAGCTTAAGCTTATCATGCTACCGTGCCAGGTTTGAGATCTGAGTAGGACTGATATCGATGAATGGACTCATTTTCCAGCCACAAGAGTAAATGCAGCTAAAACATTCACATAACGTAAGTTGTCATTTAAACATTCGTCCTGCAAAAATTTATAAACAATAATTGCACAACAAAATAAATATTCGATAGTATAAAAATGCGAAATTATGTGCCTGAATTGTTTGTGGGACTCAGTATTCTCTCTCAGTGGACCACAAATTTTTGGAGATGCGACGCATCATCATTCACATTGCAAAAGCTCCTTCGAAGCTATTATAGCAACAATGGATTGGCAAGGCACGGTGGACACGTCGCCTTCCCAGTCTTCACTGCCGCGCGTCTCGTCTGTCGCGAACGTCTCAACGTAGATGTAAACGACAGCGTGCTCCGAGTGATCGACTCCTTCCTTGATGAACTCTCCGACTCGTTGACGTTGACCTCTGCGTACAAGATTTCGGGTGGCAGTCTACGTCCTCTTCACCTCTTCAGTACCTGGCGGCCCATGAATCCAAGATGAAGAATTCTATTCTTCGGCGGTGGGACGGCAACAACGTGGCAGGTCTAGCAGCAGCACGGGAGATTTGGGAACGCTAAAGTGGGTCGCTGAGAGCTATTTCCCTGGGGAAGTCCTCACTGAACTCGTCGCTGCAGCTGCGTCTAACGCCCACCTGCGCATTTTAACTTGGCTGTGGGACAACCATCGAAGCAGAGGCTGCTGGGGAGGGGGTGAGCTGGAAGGGGCTATCCTCAACCACCACCAGGACGAAGTGGACTGGCTACGGGAAAATGTTTCGCTTCGACCTGAGTCTGCTCAGCACTTGATACTCACTGCGGTCAGGAGTGGGGATGTAGGGATCGTGCAGTGGCTATATGAGAACTTTGAGCTGGAGGTTACGGGCGCAGTGTCCACAGCCGCGTTGACAGGCCAGTGGAAAGTCACGCAATGGTTTCTGGAGAATGCTTCGCCAGAAGACCTGGCTGATGCTCCCGAGTATCCCAGAGTATTCTCCGACTATCCAACAGAGGTGGGCAACCTGGAGATGCTCAAATTTGTTTCCGGTCGAGGGTTAGTACGAGATCCCGTAAAAGTTCTGGAGGTGGCAGCTGAGCATGGCCAATTACATATAGTAACGTGGCCTCTGGAAGAGAACGAGATCCCACTAGTTAGTGGGGCATTCCAGCGAGCTGCGAACAAGGGCCACCTGGACGTGATCAAGTATTTGCACGAGAAGAGGCCAGACGGCTGCAGGGAATCGGATTTGGACCCTGCTGCCCGCTCAGGATTCATGCAAGTCGTCCAGTGGTTGCACGAAATACTCATCGCTGCACCGTGTACGCCATGGATTGGGCTGCTGGCAACGGGCACCTTGAGATAGCGCAGTGGCTCCATGCCAACTATACGGAAGGGTGGACCTCGTCAGCCATGGCTATGGCAGCTAAAAACGGTCACCTGGAGTTGGTCAAGTGGCTTCATGATAATCGGCCGGAGGGTTGCAAGAGAAGTACACTACAATATTGTGCCGCTGGTGGCCACCTAGACATTGCGAAGTGGCTGTACGCCAACCGGAGCGAAGCTTTCACCTTTTCTTCTTCCGAATATAGCAGAGGTATGGACGATGCTGCTGCACTCGACCACTTGGATGTTGTGCAGTGGTTGCACGAAAACTGCGACGAAGGATGGACTACAACAGCCATGGATAATGCAGCTGAAAATGGCCACCTTGATGTCGTCAAGTGGCTGCAT